ATTAATTGGAGCCACTTTTGCTAATTTTGATCAATAAATTTGATAAAAAAAGAAAATGATTTTGAGATAACTGTTGTCAATATTTGTTGTAAATTGTGTAAGGAAATAATATCAATTTTGTAAAATTGAATTGTACCAAAAATAAATAAAAAAAGTAGAATAATAATTTCTAATAAAAGAGTAAACAAAAGTAAATCGTAAAGTTGTGATTTATCCATCTATTTTTTTTAAACTTCTTGGTCTTCTATTTATATTTTTTTTCATCATTTTTCTCTATGAATTTTCTTTTTAAAGTTTTTATATCATCAACTATATTTTTATTTGATTTTTTCCATTATAAAGTTGTATTTTTGTTGTTCCTTAGTATAATCTTTTATTCCACATTTTTTTCCAATTCTGTTAATTTATTCACTTTGAGATAAAATTAACTTGTGAACTTATTTTATTTTAAATAATAATTAATATCAATTCTTTGTCTATTTATATTTTATATAAATAGTTGTTTCATCTTTCGTATTAAAAATAAAATGAGATTTTATTTGGTATTTTTTGTGTTGTTATTAATAGTTGTTTTAATTAACAGTGTTGAATCAAAACGGCGATATTATAAACAAGTGGAAAGAAAAAAGAATATATGTATATGTTTGAGAGGAGGATGCAGGTGCAATTCAAATTATTAATTATCTTTTTGATAATTAATTTAATATTATTTAGCATGTATGGACAAGTTACTAATAGAAATCGAAAAAGACAACATGTGAGAAGACCAAGATCTAGAAGAAATAGTCCAAGAGTTGTTGTTCCAAGACCAAAAGGTCAACGTTATGCTAAAACACCTGTAATAGCCTTACCTGATACAACAATTAATAAGTTAGTAACTTGAGAAAGGGGGAGGTATAAAGATATATTAAATTGTAATGGTCAAGTTACAAATAGATATAAAGGGGGTATTTATGTTGAAAAAATTAGAAGTAATGGTCAAGTTCATTATTCACTAGTTTATAAATTACCAGAAGTAACTCCTAGAAGATAAATTCTATATTAGCTTTAATTAACAGTTCTTCAAATATTAGATATGATTATTAGAATAACTGAGGATATTTAAAATATTAAATAACGAACAATTCAATTTTTATTTTATTTAATTTAATTTATTTTATTATTATTTTTATTTTATTTTATTATTGTTAAAATATATAAATAAACTCAAATTTATTTTTTTCATATAATTTTAAAATATCTATAGAATTTTTAAATCTTGGAATTAAAACTAAAGTTGAATGATATTATGGTGATTGAATTATTTTTGTCAATATACAATCTATAAATAATATTTAAACTTTTAATAAGATTATTTGGATAGAAACAAGTTTATGTTTTGAAAATAGTGAATGTATTTCATTTTTACAAGCATTAAATACTTATATTATAAAAAATAACAATTCAGTTCTAATTTCTATTAATTCAATTAGATTTGAACATCTTAAAATTGGTATTAGATTACTTAGAACATTTGATCCTAATGATGATACTTATTTATATGAAATAGCTATAGAATCATCTCTAGTTTTTTATGATATATCATTTGGAATATGAGAATATATGTGTACTGGGCTTTTAAATGGAACTTTTATTACTTTATTGGGAGTAATAAATCGAAGACTTGGTAGAACAAGAATTTCAGAATCAGATATTGGTGATGCAAGTACTATTATACAAAGTAATCAACAAATAAATCAAATTTTTAATAATTTGAGGATTCAAAGTAATACACAATTAACAATAGACCAAAAGATCGATAAAATTCTTACAGTATCACAAGATATAATAAATATCTAATAAATAGCTGCATTTGTAT